CGACCAAGAAGGGTAAAGGAATAGCATTACTACTTGTTGTTAGGGAGACTCCTATATATGTCGATATCCATCCTCCACGGACAGGCAGACCTGCAAAAATGCTCAACCCTTCCTCATATTTGAGAGGGCACTCCCAACGAAGCCTCTTGAAATACTCAGCTTTCTTCCCCCCAATAATACCTATGCAAACCATCCACACCAGAGCAAGAGTATCTCATATCATCAAGGTTAAAAGCAAGAGTATCTCATATCATGCTTTTTCCCTGTCTTTTCCTTTGCCCTTGTTCTTACCTGCAAGACAAGGAGAAAGAGAGCAATCAGTAGCACTTGGAATCAAACTTCCAGTCAGGAACTGACTGCCTGGAACCCCTTGCATGATTACTTACCTGGCATTGCTCTCGAGTACTCATCTTCAACATCTTATGCTTCCAGAAAATATACCACATCTGTCTGAGGAACAGATAGGGCAAGTGAGAAGGATACAAGGAAGCATGTGGAGACAAGCGCAACGGAACACGTGCCGATTCATCTATTACTTCGTCAACAGCAAAAGTATCCCATATCATCAAGGTCGAACGCACTCTTGATTTGATGGACTTGTTTTGACCCTCAAACTCTTGAGTCGGCCTTATACTATAGAGGAAACCAGAAAACCCTCCAACCCAGTTCAAGAATAAGCCTGTCGAAAGTTACTTCTTCAAAAGCAAAAGTATCTCATATCATCTATTCTCCATTTGCTTCTCCTTATCCTTGTTGCTGTTTACGACATAATGAGAAGGAGAACAATCAACCGGAAGCCAAAGTCGAACCTCCGATCCAGGTTGCTTGCTTTGAAGTCTGATTGCTTACCTTGTCTGTTACCTCTTTCGGCAAATCTCCTAACTCGGCGACTTGGGGGACTCCTACTATAGGGTTTTGTATCGCACTTGACCAAGCCCGAAACTACAAGTAAACTTCAAGTGAAATTGATACATTACCTTGTGCATCTTCATCGGTTAAAGATACCACCCCTGGATTGAGGAAAAATACTTCCAGAGAAGATGCCACAGCTACGTATGAGACAGATAAGGCAAGTGAAAATGATACCACACTTCAGTACTTAGAAGTTTCGTGATTACTCAATGGCTTGGATCTTGCAAGTCCCCAACCAAGGAGCTTCCCTCACTCGGGAACTTAGGGGAGCACTGTTTGTACCATACTTGACCAATCCCGAAACTACTGAGCACCGGTCAACGTTATACCGTCAAGGACCTAGAAGAGTTTCCCTCCAACCAGGAGGCCAATCACAGCGTGACACGTGTCGATATAAAAAACCAATCATAGCACGACACGTGTCAACATCAGAAGCCAATCATAACACGACATGTGTCAATGTCATAATGAAACTAGAAACTCTCTTCTATAAATAGAGATCATTCTCTCACAATATTTCCTAATGTCATTTGTACTAAATCATTCACTTGTACTCACTAAAGGAGAGCTTGAACCTATGTACTTGTGTAAACCCTTCACAATTAATGAGAACTCCTCTACTCCGTGGACGTAGCCAATCTGGGTGAACCACGTATATCTTATGTTTGCTTCCCTATCTTTATCCATTTACATACTGATCCATACTAGTGACCGGAGCAATCTAGCGAAGGTCACGAACTTAACACTTTCTGTTGTACCAAAGTTCTCACTGATTTTGTGCATCAACAAATTTCATATAAATATAACATGTTAGCCAGAACCCCTATGGTAGTCTATACGGCTGAATTCATAGCACAAAAATCAATCTAGCCGGAATCACTACAATGACCTATACAACACTATGTTGCACAAGAGTTGGAACCAAATGAAAAGGTCTGTACGACAATAATAGGTGTAATATAATCATGCTCAATACTACTCTCACATAACAGATGGACGATAAATCACTAGTCACCTACGAGTCGGAACCACCTAAGATGGTCTGTACGACAGGACTGTGCACCTAAATTGGATCCAATATGAGCATATGGTGCGGGAGGTGACATAATAAATAGGCATGTGCCATAACTCTGGCTAAATCACAATCACCCTAGGTGCAGTTTTATTAGCTCAACGTTATTCAATCACATATATATCATCAATGATTCACATAACTTACTTGAGCTTACCTGAGCGTCTACATCACCACAATTATATATCATGCATCATATACCAATTCATATACAACATATAAATTCACATGCATGGCATTCAAGGCATACTTTCATTTAAACACATATTTTTTGGAAAATATCAAGTATATAAATATATATTGAAAACCAAAAGCCCACTCACTGGTATGTCGAAGGGTCGTAGCCCCTGAGTCGCCCTTGAACACGCTCGTCCTTAGGATAAGTCTCACCTATATGCGAATTATAAAAATGTTATTTAAAGCACATAGGCAAAACTAACTAATAACTTCTCATACATAGCTCAAATTGGGTATATGAATATACCACAATGACCTATACAATCTCAAGATTGTCCCCAAATTTTTAAAATAATTTTTCATCCACCCATGTGTCACCACGCGCCGGCGAGTGCACAGCAAGATGCGCGGCCACGCACAGGGAACCCTAACGGAAACAGTAACGGCAGTTAGGGAATATTCCGCTTAATCCTAACAGATTCTGTTAAACTTAACTGACGGCATTAGAATATTCCGTCAGAATTGACAGAATATTTCGTTGTCTTCAACCTCAGACTCCGGCGACCATCACCGTCGTCGGAAAACTGGGAATTTTTCAAATCGCTATATCTCACTCATTTTTCATTCATTTCCTACGAAATTTGCACCAAAATGAAGCTTACAACTTGAAGAACATTTCCTTACCAATTTGAAGCTCCAAAAGTCATGGAATCTCGCTGGGGAAATTCCACAAAATCCGGCCAAGCTTGAAACTCACGATCCCGACGTCCAATTTCACCCAACGAACCACTCCGAGCTTCCTTAGGACCTCCTAAAGCTTCATATGTCCTTAAAATTCCCTAAAAATCAACATTTTACGTGAGCATGAATAGTACCTCAGATCGGGGTTCGGATTTCACGAGTTTTCAAAGGAGTTCTTACCTGAAAATGGTACCATTCAACTCGTATGGTTCTCACGAACACAATGGTGTGCTTCACACCCTCGATCTTCACACTTTCGATGGGTTTTGGGTGTAGTCCGTACAAGAGAGAGAGAGAGAGAGAGAGAGAGAGAGAGAGAGAGAGAGAGAGCGTTCGAGAGAGAGAGTATGGGAGGGTGAGAGTGAAAAAGTTTTGGGTGTGTGTGTGGTCCTCACACTAACACATCACCTAACCCACATCTACAACCAAACAAAAAGTCTAAGTCCCAAATTATCCAAAATTAAGCTAGGGCAACCAAATAACCCTAATATTAAATCCCATGAAACGTTTAAGGGTATTCTTGACATTTCCCATCCATGAGAATAATTTTCCGGGACGGGCTGTGATAGTTTCTTATTTTTTAATATATTTTTGTGAGATATTAATATCTCTCCCTCCTAAAATAGAGGAGGCATGGGCCTTTTTTTTTTTCAAATAAAGCAAATTTTGAATTTACAGTTTTATTTGAATGAGGTATTTGGAGAGGACCCTCAATCTTATAAACGTGGTGTTTTTAATTATTTTAATGTTTTTAATTATTAAGAGAGAAAATCATCTGGAATTATAGGTGGCAAATGCAACATGCAAATGGAGTGGAGTGAAATTCATCCGGTTTTAACTGTTTGTATTTACCATTTGTCTCTTTTACTGCAAAACTTCTTCTCTTTACAACTTAACCCACGTGGCTTTAATCCATTTTTTTTATTATTTCAGTTTTTTATGACAAAATTACCCTTGCAAATTTGTTTCTACTATTTTCGGCCAGTTTTGATTTTTTTTTTGTTTGGGGGGCTTTTTTATCGAAAATTTTTTGGTGAAGTCTTGAGACACCAAACTCTCCTTCTTACTTTCTAACTGCTCTCCATAACTGCTAACTTTTAGAGGATAATTATCATGATTTTTTTTAATTACCATGTTTTGTTTCCAATACAGTTTCTGATAAGTTAAATTCCTTTTTACGTTTTTGTCCTTGTTTTTGGGATTTTTTGGACTTTGATTGTAAAGAAAACAAAGGGACTTTCTTGGCATTTCTAAATGCTTCACAAAACTAGCCTTCTCCCTTTATATACATAGATAAAGAGATGTTAAATTTTAAGTATAAAATTCGAGTTTGATAACTTATGTGGTAATTTGACATTTTTTAAAATTTTGCTCTCTACTCGATAAGTCAAATTAAATTATTATTTTATTACATTAATTTTTTTTATATAATTTTTGTTTTATATTTTAAATTTTACATGTATAAATAACTTTTATAATTTCAGCAGAAAATGTATAAATAGTTCATAATGAACCATTTGGCATTCATGTTTTTTTCCTATTTATCAAAATTAACTTTTTCAATTGTGAAACCCTAAATCACGTTCGAATTCCTTGTTTCAATCTTGTATTGCATAAATTGAACTTTTGTGATTGCGTGGATCAAGATCGAAGAGAAATCCCACCCCACCTCTTCGGAGGCCCCCAAATCCCAGCCCATTCCACTTCTTCTTCCCTGTCAACCCAAATCCCAACCCCTTCCAGATTTTCCAAACCCCACCCCCACCCCTTCAGAGGCCCTCAAATCCCATCTTGACAGTGGAGACGAGCTTGACCGGTCGACACTATAAGAGCAGTTCTACCATTGCTAAGGCATTCCCGGGCTATTCACTATTTAATCCACTCAATGAATAATAACTGCTTTTTGCATTTCCATCCCTACATTGAATAACCCTAGCAATAGGCAATAAAATATTAGTATTTAAAAAAAATTATTTGTAATTACGGATAAAATTTTTGACACACCCCGACCTAAAATCAAGGCGTGCTGGCAGTCACGTGAGGGTGACGTTGCCATGTGTACAGTGCGGAAGCGATAAGGATATGAAATATACGAATAAATAAAAAACCGAAAGCTAATTAATGTGCACTAATAAGCAGAAAGTGCTAGGAATGAGATACAAGTGTAAATACACATAATCAGAGTATAGAAGTCTAAGTGCAGTCTAGTAAGACAAGTACTAGTTATACAGTACCAGAAGAAGTCCTACGAATATTATACTTTGTCAGAACCGCCAAGATCCACAAATGCCACCAACAACAAGTCTACCTAAAACCTGGAGGGGCGCAAAATAGAAAGTGTGAGTGGGAAAAAACAAAGCTTTTCAAAATCATTTCATTTATCAAATGCTCTAACCTCTCGCCGTAAAACATGTATAATTTTCCCAGAAATAAAATATATATATATATATATATATATATATATATATATATATAACAGAATAAGTAACTCAGGTGAAAATACATTCATGGAAAATAACATATTAACCGGAACCCCTGCAGAAGTCTGTACGGCTGAATTCATAGTTCATTAGTCAATCTAGCCGGAGTCACTGTAAGTGACCTATACGGCACTACACTACACACAAGTCGGAACCACTGTAATGGTCTGTACGACAGGACTGGGTGTAATATAACTATGCTCCTTACTACATTCTCATTATAACTGTGCGATAAATCGCTAGTCACCTACGAGTCGGAACCACATATAATGGTCTGTACAAGACTATGCACCTAAATTGGATCCAATGTGAGCATAGGGTGCGGGAGGTGACATCATAAACAGGCATGTACCATATCTCTAGCTAAATCACAATCACCCGAGGTGCAGGTTTATGAGCTTTCAACCACATCTCATATTATAAATATCTCATATAATAAAACATAACTCACCTGGTACTTACCTAAGCGTCCACATCACCAATTCATATTATGCATCATATACTAAATCATATGCTGAATATAAATTTATATGCATGGCATTTCAAAGCATACTTTCATTTAAACGCATTTTCTGGGAAAATATCAAGTATATAAGTATATACTGAAAACCAAATGCCCACTCACTGGTATGTCGAAGGGTCGTAGCCCCCGAGTCACCCTTGACTACGCTCGTCCTCGGGATAAGTCTCCCTTATATGCGAAACAATTGACGTCGTTACCCTCCGTTAGGAATATTTCGTCAACTTTGATGGAATATTCTTCTTTCTTCTCCGATGAACCTCGCCAGTTGCCGTCGTCGCCGGAAAACTGTTTTGGGACCTAAAATCCAAGGAAATTTGCCAGAGAACCTTCGATAATCCAGCCAAACTTCAAATGCATCGATCTCGACTTCCCGACGTCCAAATCATGTCATTTTTCTTCTCCGAGCTTCGTGGAGAGGTCCTTAAGCTTCCTATAAGCTTGAAATCCTCTGAAAATCATGCATTTACGGCTGCATGAACAATATTCAAATCAGAGGTTAAGGTTTCTTGGGCTTTTCGAAGCTTTCACGCCCAAAATTGGTATAGATGGGTTCATGACGATGAGATGAAGATGATGACGGTGTCTACAAACTCGATCTGTGCCTAGTTGGAGTTTAGAGAGAGTGACCATACAAATTGTACGAACGAAGGAAGAAAAACCGAGGGAAGAGAGAGAGTGTACACGGGAGAGATAGAGAGAGAGTGTGTGTTTGTGGTCTAGATTTGGTCCCAATCAAAACCAAAAAAAATCTAAGTTCCAATTGGGTCCCAAAACTTAAGAAAATACATAATTTGTCCACAACCAAAGCTTAAACCACACCATCCCACATACGTTCAAGGGTAAAACCGTCATTTCACACCGTCGAAACTAAACATTTCGGGACGGGCTATGACAATTTTAAATCGGTCTCGTTGTACCACTTTCTATTAAAACATTTATTTTTATTTTTTAATTTTTTCAATTCACATGGTGCAGCACACCATTCCAAAACCTTTGTTTTTTTTTCACATGGTGCCGATGCACCATTCCAAAACCTTTTTTTTATTATTTTTTTTCTTCTTCTTTTCACATGGTACCAATGCACCATTCCAAAAGCTGTGTGTTTTTTTTTTCTTTCTTTTTCAAGCTCAGCAGCTCTCTCTCACTTTAGCTCCAGAGGCAGGGCCTCAGACTCTAACAACATCAATAGCCGATCCATGCAAAACTTCAGTTTTTCCTTAGTTAAGTAGGTAAAGGATCACCAACTCCTTAGTTAAAATCTCTCTCTCCCTCTCTCTCCCTCTCTCTCTCTCCCCCCCAAAAAAAAATCCCAAATCGTGCGATCTGGGCGCGCAAGTGGAAGGAAGGGGATCACAAGTGCGTGGAGGCGAAGGCAGTGTGGGGTGCGGTGGTAGCTGCGACGGAGGAGGGACTGGATCTCTGCCATTTGTCTGTGGATGTTCATCAGCCTCGGCGACGAACTCCAGCGAGTGCCGTTGAGTTTGAAGCTTATTGGGTTTTTTAATTTTTTTTTTAAATTTTACTTTTTTTATTAATATTTTATATTGTGGCTGACGTCGCCGTGATGTCAGCCCACGTCACGTTGCCTTCGGGCTCTCGGGCTGGCAACTCGTGCCGAGCCTTTCCTTTGGGCATGCTCGGGCTTTCTGGCCCTGTTCCCTCGCCTGTCCCTCGGGCTCCAGCACACGCTGGAGCTACTCTAAGTGATCAACCCAAGGTGCAAAGAGAGAAGACGACGACAACGAAAAAGGAGAAAGCAAGGGTAATGAGAAAAGTTTTGGGGGGACTATGCAAATGATTAGAGACAGAGATGCGGTTGGAATTGCAGATCGGGAATGAAGAAGTTTGAAGCTTTTGGAATTGCAGGTGGAAGGAATTAAAAATGATGAAGAATATGATATTTTTGTCTTTTTTAGTTCTTTGAAGGAAGGTGGATCCATGACCTGGAAAAAGTATTTAATAATGAATTAAAAATATTTAACGATGCTGTCAAATTTGACAGCAAGGGTGTGGACTTCTATTCCACGTCATACCATATTCAGATTTGGCCTTTCGGTTGGAAAATTTTGTTGCTTTTTTTTATGACTGTTAATGTTGATTTGAAGATTTTGACATTTATTTTGGAGATGCTCTAATCTGACCTTCAGTCACTACAAATTTACAGGTGTTGTCAATTTGGATTTAAGAGAGTTTTAATAGATTTTTTTTTAAAGTGAAAGATTTCAAAGGATTTTAATAGACTCTACAAATTCTCAAAGGACTTTTGCATATTTATATGGATTTGTATTATAGATTTGTATGGATTATTTCATGAATTTTTTATGATTTTTTATGCTTTTTAGGAGAGGCCTCCCACATTGAGGGAGTTTCAATAGCTTCAAACTCTTCCAATGGCACTCATCTTCTTTCTTCATCATCCTTGGTGTCGACACTTAGAGGTTCCCTCTCTTGGGAACTTGGAGAATCCATTCTTCAATCCTCTTCCAAGAAATTCATGGAGCAAAGAAGCTAGGAATGAAGGCCCTCTCTCAAGGGTGATTAGTCTTTGCTTATGCAAAGATGATTCAACAAAGGTATAAGAAATATCAATTCCTTTCTTTAAAATTTGAGTTGGCATAACCACACCGAAGCAACCTTCCTTCGTTTCCTTCTTGGGGTCTTTTGATATGTATCCAAAGTAACTAAAAATCAGACCTATTTCAAAAGTCAAAAGTCACCAAAAATGGGACCTATTTTCCCTTCCTTTTACTTATTGGATTCCGACCTACCCATGTTGCTGCTCTTATCTTCCTTTGTCTTTTCCTGTTCATTATCCTTATCTTTGGCATAAAGGCTTTGAGAGCTCTCAGTTATATCATCCAGTTTAGCATATGACTGAAGGGCTTGACTTATGTCTTTGAGCTTCAAGGACTCCTTTCCAAACATTAGAGTTGTTCGAAAGAGCTTGAAAGTTGAAGGTAGAGACCTCAACAAGATGGTAGCCATATCATCGTCTTTGTAAGTTTCTTCGACCTTCTAATGATTGGCTATGCAATTCTAGAACCTACATATGTGATCTTCAGTATACCTTCTTCTTTTAGTTGAAGCCTGAATAATTCATCTTTGAGAAAAAGTTTGTTGGACACAATTTTGCCCCTATAAACATGCTTCAACTTGTCCCATGTTTCCTTAACGATTGTCTTTTCTATGATATGGGACCTGACTGATCTTGTGAGATGGGTTTTGATGGTGTTCCTGGCCTTCTTGAGAACCTTGGTGCATGCCTCTGATGTCATGGTCGTAGGCTTCTCACCAATGAGTGCATCATCCAAATCTTAGTTTATCAGTATATTATTCATCATTGTTTGCCAATCAATGAAGTTATCATTGCCATCAAAAGGTTTTAGCGCAAGCCTTAGGTCCACGGTCGCCTTTCCTTTTGACATCGTAGAACACTTTAAACCAAGGACTTGATACTAAATGTTGTGTCACGAGCTCCATAAGTGTCAACTACTACAACTGCCATGCACCAATATTGTCCCTACTTAAACACCTAGGCTCAATCCCCAGGGTGGTATCTAGCCCAATGGACCTAAGGTGTGAGATTTTATGTTGAAAGACCTTGGTGCAATTAGAAGTTGACACGTATATTTAAATCTTAGATTATTGTTGTACTTCTCTAATGTTGGACTCTCTCCACACACATATTGGATTGTATCGAGCCAGCCTTTTACACCAACAATTACTTTATTTCTAGCTTCGACCAAAGCAATGTACTCTGCCTTTGTGGTGGACAGAGCTGTAATTGGTTGTGGTAGTGCCCTCCAACTAATTAGTCCTTTTGCACATGTAAAGGCATAACCAAAAGTTGACCTTCTTTTGTCCAAGTCCCCTGCATAATCGACATCCACATTTCCCAACATCTTGCTTTTTTTTTTTTTTTTTTTTTTTTTTTGCTTTTCAAACATGATCCCTTATCACCAAGAACCTTTCAAGTAATGCAAAATCCACTTGACTGCATCCCAATGTTGCTTTCCTATATTTGCCATGTACTTGGAAATGATGTTGAGTGCTTGAACTAGGTTGGGTCGTGCGCATGCTATTGCATACAGCAGCCCAAGACATTAGCATAGAGCACCTTCTTTATCAATTGTTTCTCTTTTGTGAGCCATCAAAGGAGTTGAAACTACTTTTGATTCTTTCCTAGTTGTTTTAGGAAAAGAATCGGTGCACCTATACTTTCCCTAATACAATCCTAAATAAAATAGGACACTAAATTTGATGAGCCAAGTCCTAACACTATGTAGTCAAGGTAAAATCATGACTGTGATTTACTTATGGAATTGTGTTTTGGTATAGAGAGGCATGATATAAAGATGGACTGGTAATCCTGGTTGGTCACACTTCACTACTTTTTTTGTCTGTTTGTTTGTCTTATCTGCGTGCACGTAAAACTATATTGCTTTCGATTCTTTGTGTATTAAAGTAGTTCAGAATTTGACTGCTTCCAGGGGGTCTTTCCAAGCTTTGGTGAACGATATCTCTCCATCGTTTTGTTCCAGTCAATTAGAGAAGATGGTGAGAAAATGTAACCAGAGCCATGAAATTCCTTTTCTCAAGCAATTTTGTGACAGTAATGCACATTGATTGTGAAATCCCCTCCACGGATTTCACTATTTAAAATTACGTATTTCGTATTATTAATTCGACGTGTTTATATTTGCGGTGCATTTATTTAAGTAAAATGATGAAATCGCCCCTATTGAATTAAACAAAATTTTCACGGACATATTTGATTCTTTCATAATTTTCCTGATTTCTTTACATATTTGGATAGTAAGTGTCGATACGAACGCGTGACTGCAAACGGATTGCAATTTGGAGCTATAACGAATGAAATATAAACGAGCAAAGGTTAAGGGTAAAATGGTAAAATTGTCCCGTTTTGCTAGAAGGCTCCAGAAAATACCAGGTGGATGGCTGTGATCGCGCCAGGGGGGGGGGGGGAAGAAGGAGATTTACTTTGCAGAAAGCTAAAGGTTTGAAGATGCGTAATGCTGTCGTTGCTACCACGGCGGGGAAGAGACTCTTACTGCGGTCTGGAGTCTGAAGCTTGGATTATACAAAGGTACCTTTTACGTAATTGTGTGTGTATATATAGCTTGATATGTAGATGGTGCGAGTGAACCGATGTGGTAGGATAGGCAAACATGAAATAATAATTCCTTTATTCGCAATGCAGAATGAACTAATTTAGGTTTTATTGTTTAATTTGATTATTTATCAGACGCTGATCAATTATTGGCTTCAATATTTTGGTTAAAGCTTAAACTGAAAGATTCAGGAATATGTATGCCTTAAGTGTGAGAAAAGGTTGCAACTGTATCTTCTTTTTCCTCTGTAGTTATCTAGGTGCTCATTTTGATACCCATGAAAGCACCTCCAAGCAGCCTGGAAGATGAGATGAAGATTTAAGACTTTTATTTTTATATTTTATGTTATAGTATTAATGGCTATCTTCAAGCCATCAGATAAGAAGGCACCGCCTGGCCTTCTTCTTGTACCCAACAGGAAAGAGATAGCGAGAAGGGGAAGAGGATAAACTTAATATTTACGATAATAATTTACATGAGAGACTCTCCGTTTCCTTTCCTTTGAGTAATAGGGCAGATGGAGAGAAAAGTGGAAAGAAAAGGAATACGAAAGAGATGATGAAAGATGACAGATGAGAGTTAAGGAGAGATAGCAAGTCTTGAGACTTAAATTAAGATGGCAAGGGGAGCTGCTCTACTGATGGCACCATTGGTACAACAAGTAGGTAGTTCTAGTGGCCTAATTAGTTTTTTTTTTTTTTTTTTCAAATTGAAGGAAAGCTCTTGGCTGGTTCTTTTACGGGTAAGAAAGAAGATTTCAAATTGTTACTTTTTTTATTTATTTGTGAACAATTGACGGATGCAGTATGTAGAGAAGGATAATGACATCCAAGTTATATAGTAGCATTTCGAGTTGTGGATTGGCTACCGTTTTTCTAAAACTATTTATAAGATGCCCATTCTTTTTCATATGAAACAATTTGGTCTTTCAGTACAAATGTTGAAAAGGCATATATGGTAATTGTCCAATGATCTGTTTAGGGTCTTCTTTTGGCTTAACAAGTTTAGTGATATGTTCTTGACATCTTATAAAATATGTGTGTGTATGCATTCGAACTAAACCAAATTGGTTTAACATTATCAGATCTTTTGCGCATCTACTATATATTGTCTGAGTTATATGTATCAAGTTAATATGATCTATGATGGAGTTGGAAATTATATTATTATGTCTACACATGGTTTAAAATGTCACCCTTCTTATTTACCATGAAGACAACATGCATATGAATATTTAAATTTCACTTGCTCCCTGATTTTCTAAAGGTTATACTTATTCAAACATTCCCTTGTTCCGACCAAACCATTCTAGATTATCCAAAATGACGTTGAGATTTGTAGTGTGAGATTAGTTAGTTTGAGTGTATTGTTGAGGATCAAAGTACATGTCTTGCATATGGTGTTTTGGTTACACTTGTGAATAGGAGCTATCAAAGTGGTGGTTTCTTGTGGTAGCCCTTGGGCGAATGTGCGGTTGTGGACCATGGGCGAATGTTTCAAATTGACTTGTGTATTGATGATATTTGTGAAATGTGATTTGCAGTGCTTGTTGAATGGTTTGATGAAAAGTAATTTGACGTGCATATTTGAAATGTGGCTTGATTTGTATGATTGGTGTGATGTGATGAAATGTAAGGGCTAGTAGTGGACTGTTAACCCATTGACATGGGGATTTGTTGCTTCGAAATTTTTTTCACATCTCGGTTCATTGTTCCATTTCTCGCTTCATTGATCTGCTCTAAATTTAGTACTTGTGCTTTGTTTTATTTTGTTGAGCCTTCGTAAATTGAGCACTTGGTTCATGTTTTGTTTCTTCGAGCTGTTGATATGTTCCTTGGACCTCCGCTCGGTTCCGTTGAGTAATCCAAAATTGGATATCCGCTGGGGTTCCATTGAGTGGTCTGGTTCCCTGCTTCGTTTAGATTCCGTTGAGTGGTCTGGAATCCCTCGTGATCCGTGATTCCGTTGAGTGGTTCAGAATCGTATCTAACTTGGATTTCATTGAGTGGTCTTATATCTATTGTACTCCGCAATTTCGTTGAGTGATCCGGAATCATATCCACTCAGATTCTGTTGAGAGGTCTATAATCCTTTTTACTCCGCGATTCCGTTAAGTGGTCGGAATTGTATCCTGGTTCGGATTCTATTGAGAGGTCTGTAATCCTTTCTACTCCGTGATTCCGTTGAGTGGTTGGAATTGTATCCTGGTTCGGATTCTGTTGAGTGGTCTATAATCCCCTTTGGTGTCTTGGTTCTGTTGAGTAGTCCATAACCAAATGTTGATGGATTTCGTTGAGTGGTCCGAAATCGCATCATTTGACTTGTTGGTTTCTTGGATTTGATTTTAGCTTCAGAGATGTAAGCTTTGACCGAACTGTGTCACTCTAGCCCTGCATTTCAGTGTATGGTAAGTGTTATTGTTTGGTATGATTATTGGATGCTATTGGATGTAATTGTTATGATTATGATTAGACTTGTCGACCAACGTGGCTTGAGATTATTATTGTGCTTCGTCGATTGATCCTTGAGATGTGGCATTCGCTGAATTGTGTATTATGTTGAGACGTAGTGAGATATGTTTTGAATAATCGAGTGTAGTGAAATGGTGAACTACAAACGGCTTAATCCCTATTGAGGGTACGTAGGCAGTCTAACGAGGAGGTTAGATGCAACCATAAAGCATACGAAAAATTATTACGCATTTGGAACTCGAGTTATGCTTTGAACATATCCCGTAGGTGGGGTATGTTAGATATACGAATATTTGGTGACGTCATGTGTCGATCCTGAACATATGTCGGGATTGGAGCGTGACATTGTTTAACCTGAAACTTTCCTTTTTTATATCACACATTGGACCCTCAGATCTTGTAATTGTGTTAAATTTCACCTTTTGTCTATTTGAATGTCTACTTCTTCAATAAATTGATGTTTTTTTAGTCAATTTTGTACAAATGTTGTTTACATATCCATCCAATTATAGATTCCACGCTCATCATGCAATCAATCTAATGAAGATTCAAATAATTTGTTAGGCAAAAGACATGAATTGATACAGTTTTAAAATTTTAAGGTGTAATGTGAAAAAATCAAAATCTCATGACCAAACATGTAAACCATCGCAAATTTAAAGAGTGTAAAATGTAATTAGCCCTTAAACGACAAGGTTTTAGTTCGGGCTGTGTGGTCTTGCTTGTCGTCCAAATTACAGGGTTTACTTCCCAAACTTAATTAAGGCCTTATGTTTTAATTTTTGTACTATAAGTTTTCAAGGGAAGGGATCCCCATTTTTTCATAAAAATAGGAATTAGTTGTGGGGTTCATACGATATCGAATTTTAACGATTTGAACCCTCTAGTTTTCAAGTTGCACCTCATAGACCATTCTTGCAAAATATTAGTCAAATCGAAAATATTTAAGACATCTAATTTGGTTAAAAAAAAATAACGATTACTTTGTTTGTTATATAAGAAACAATACAATTTTATCTTGATAATTAAATAGACAAATGATTTTGGATTGAATTTAATTTAATTTTTGTAAGAATGATCTATGAATCGAGATTTACAAATTAGACTATTCGGATCGTTGAAGTGTGTTTCACACCTAGTCCATATTTTTTGGAAAAAATGAGAATGGCTTTGATATATATATATATATAGGTCCAATTATTTGACTGGGAACGTGGTTCTATCATATACTAGAAAATAAGTGATCGGATCATATTTATATATATTTTTACTTCGAATTCACTCGTCTTTTCTTAGTTAGTTCCTTATATTTTGAGCTATTTACGTTATTTTTGTGTTTATAGGATTTGTTACGCAAAGAAAATAAAAATAGCACAAATGAGTTTTAAATAATAAACAGAAAGAATATTGGTTTTATTTTTGGATTGGGTTTTATTTTGGTTTATTTTGGTTTATTTTATATGCATTGAATTGATTGTTTCATAGAATATTGGTTTTGGATTTGTTACTTGAATTTGTTCTTAATTCCCAACTGCTACTAATTTAGAGTTTATGATACAAATTAGTTTTGTATTATTTTGTCAAGGAAGAATCCAAGGACAGCAAGAGGAATAAAATAAAGAAAGGGGATCCAAGACAAAAAGGAAAGACAGCGAGAATCCAAGGAGAGACTTGCGGAGCGCCAGGCATGAAAGCAGGCGGGACAGCTAAGGAAAGAAAAGGCTGTCTTGCAGCCTTGAGAAAGAAGAGAAGAATATAGAGAAAGCTGCCTTTGCAGCGTGAAAAAGGGGAGAAGATGCGGGGAGTGTGGAGGATGGAAGAAAAATAATAGAAGAGAATCAAAGAGCTGCTTTTGGCAGCTAGAGAAAGTGACACGGGAGAGAGTAGCAGGTGAAAAGGAGAGGACAGCAGTGGGCTGTCTTGGAGCCCAGAGGAGTGCGCAGGGTGCGCAGAAAATAAAAGAAGAAACGCTGCCTTTAGCAGCAAAAAGGAGAGAAGCAGGAGAGAGGTCAGAGGGCAGGACAGGCGGGGTGAAAGAAGACAAGGCAGAAACAAGAAGGCAGGCGTGGGGGGAATCACGGGAAGCTGCCCGAGGACTGCGCAGAGGAGAAGGAAGGCACGGACTAGAGAGGTGAGCACGGGGGAAGCTGCCCTTGCAGCTGAGACTGACGCAAGGAAGACTGACGCGGGCAGGGGGAGAGAGAAGTGGGCACGAACGCAGCAGATCCTCTTTCGGTTTAATCTTTCCAAACTCCTCTTTTATTTCTGTTTTAATAATGTGTAAATAAACCTATTTTGGCTAGAGGTTAATTCAAAGCCATGAATATATTTGTAATATGAATTGATTACCTTCAGTTGTGATTTCTGAGTTGTGATTTAATTTGCTTAACTGCTTGATTGATAACTTATTTTTGTATGTCGATTAAGGATGCATACTTAATTTACATGCATGAATTTGATGCTAGAATATAAGTGAATTTCACCTAATCGTTATGAACTTATATTCACAAGTAGTGAAGGTTGTTATCCACAATCGTGTTAAGTGAATTCTTGGCAAGAGTATCATGCTTTTCATAGTTACGAATGCCTCGTCAATGCTTATAGTTTTCACAAAGTTTAATGATCTTTGATTGTATATCTATTGTGCTTTTCACGTAGGGGACTTTTGAAGAATGTTTTGAATTGTTTGCGTTTTCCCGTCCAATTCAATAACTTAAGGAAAACTTGAAGATTAAAAAAGTGCTGTTCACGGTTAATTTGAAGTGTTGAGATTCACAATTTATTGAAAGAACAACTGAAAATCAATTTAGGTTGCATATGTGTCATGTGTGGAGAATAACCCTCTAGCTAATCCATCACCTATCCTTTCACCTTAATTTCATGTTTTTGTCAATTTTGTAATTTATTTAAGTTTAATTTACTTCTAGTCAAAACCAAACACCCTTCCATTATTAAATTATTTTATTTAGTTAGTTTTCATTGTTGTTAGTCTTTTAATTCAATTTCCGTCCATTTCAGTTCCTAGTGTCTAAATTGAGTGTTTCCATTATTTTGAGTCATTATAAGTGTGTTTCAAGTTATTAGAGTTTTTAGCCTAGTTTTGTGTCCTTGAGTCTTATTTAATATTTTTAAATTAATTTAGAATAGATTAGCAATCCCTCCTAATCCCCGGCCTAGAACGATACCCTACTTACATCTATACTACAATTGTCAAAAAGAGGGTTTAATTTGTGTGCTTATATAATTCGCATCAATAAGCCCGCGCTATGCTGTGGGAAATCATTGTATTAATCGTAATTGGATGAATAAGAAACATTTATCTAAATAAATTCAACATAATAATGAATGACAAAGGGATATATAAGGTGAGTAGAGAGTGTGCACCACCAATTTGTTTCAGTTTGGGCCCTTACCATAAACGCGCAAACCGAACCTTGTTTTTTTTATTTTCACTGATTTCTTTGTACTGGATCCTGGGGCAGTATCGAAATATTTCACTATCGTTCCTTCATACTTTTTATCGTTTCGAGCCTTAATCAGTTCCCTTAAATTTTTTTACCAAATCACCTTCTAGAATTTGTTGTTCGCTTCGATCAATCTCTTTCACCATTTTATTAACCTTGAATAACAAATTAAATACAACGTTAATATTTATGTATTTAGAAAGAAAAATGTGTTTAGCTTGTAGATCTTAAAATAACTGTGTCAAAAAATTTTAAAACTCAAATATAGAAGCTGTGAGTTTTTTGGAAATAACTTAGGTTTGTTCGGAGAGCATAGTTATTAACAGCACTTATTAATGTACTTTGGGAGGGATGAGATGGTTGACTCTTAGGAAAACCTAACGAAAACACCAACCACACCAACCAAGCAAAGTAACTAACGTCTGAAGAATGGTTTGGAAATTGAAAACGCAACAGAGAAAGAAAGCAATTGACAAAAAAAAAATATATATAAAATGACTAACAACATTCGACTAAGAATTAGGAACATGTAGTTAAAGAAAAATCACAGATGACACCAATGCACCTTTGAACAATAATAGAATGGTTGAGACCAAGTTAAAACCAACAAAAACAAAGAAACTAATGAACTTGTGAAGTATCAAAAGATTACAGAGATAACCAAGAATGAGAAACAAAGCAGGTAGCAGACGAATGACATAAGCTGATAAAACCAAACAATCGACTGAAACATGATAAATTTGCATTAACTCAAACGGAAAGCACAGGGAAACAATGTATATTAGATTAGGTGACATACCAAAGCCTTGATTCAAATGCAATAGGTGCGGATTCCTAGATAAAGGCAGCAAGAAGAGCAGATCACAACGTTGCAATAAGACCTTGATCTAAACTACAACAAATCAGTGAGATTGAGAGTTAGAATTCGAAGCGCAAACAAATGGATACATGAATAGTAACACAATTTGTGACAGTGCAATGGACTCTAACTGGGACAGTTCAATGGACTTAATGTACGACAAATTTATATTTAACGAAAGAAAAGCTGCTAACAACGGGAATGCATCTTCTGTCACCATATTAATTTAAAGGCCTAAAGTAAGGATGAGGTATCGCAGGTGGTTCTTAATTAGTACAGGGGTTAGAGTGTGAGAACGTTGGTTTTAGAAGGAATAAGCTAAATAGAGTAAATAATGGTTTACGGTGGAGTACGTTTAGTGAAAATCAGTGAGATTGTTCATTTTTGGAAGAGGATGGTTTTGAGTTAGAATAGAACATTTGGACTGCATTTAACAACCAGCATTTATGGTTCTATGAAAATAAGTATAAACTAAGTTGGAATGACAACAACAAACAGCAAAAAAAATGAAGGAATGCAGAACTAAGGATTGTCAAGTGGCTCAACATTTAACAACCACCATTCATGGTTCTATAAAAATGGGTATATACTAAGTTGGAATCACTACAGCAAATAGCAAAAGAAAAACAGAGAATGCAGCATTTTCTCATATTTTTGAATCAATTATAAACCCTGAAACCGTTACGCCTAGACCTTTTATTCACACCCCAGTCGTTGTTGTATCCCTACATCTATGAATCCAATTTCATTCAAGAAACAATGCAGAGGAGAAAATCGAAAAAGAAGTATGTCCCCATGATTAGTTTTCTCGTCTATTCTTCACAAACTAATCACATATCTAAAATCTAAGTACAAAAGCTTTGCAAAGGTAATAAAAAAATGGTGTATAACTAATTAGGCTTTGAACATATAATCAGTGTGCAGAATTATATACCTAAAGAAGGCAATGAAGCGTATTGTTCCTCCCAGAATCAGGGTTCCTAAAATTTCCAAAGAACGTAAATCCGTTAGGAAATCCGAGAAATTGGAGGATCAAATCTCATTAAATTTGAGTTAAATGAGTTAACGTACATGAATTAAATGAGAGAGTAAACAGATTTCAAATCTATGAAATGTAATGGTTGAAATCCAACCAAACCTAATCCTTAAACCTATTTTCTCGGATACCCCATACTAAAGAGAATGCATGTGAGGTTTAGTTTATAAAATTGCATGTTGTTTTCTCTCTTTGTACCGTTTAACAATTCACCAGTAAGATCATGTAAAAAATACTTATATTAGGAAATCTAATGGCGAACAATGTGAAACCGAAGATGGTTACATCCTTGGTCTTCCCAAATTTTCCTTAGAACTATAATGTTGTTTCAAGTTTTAAAAATTGATCACTGCAAGCAACAGAGCAGATAGTATTAAGATCGAAAATGCATTCCGGAAACTGTAAAAGTAAAAAAAACTGTGATGGTGGAACGGAATAAATTTGCAAAAGTGCAACAAACAAAGGGTAAATCTCATAAGGGTTTAACTGACGACCAGTCATTTATACTTGATAATGTTCTGAATTATCAGCCGGATAAAGCTGTTAAAATGTGTTTTGGAATCAGTCGTTTGACAGCATGTTTATCCACGCTGTTGGGATCAAAATCTTGGATGTTGGGGTCAAAATTTTGTGTCTGCCCAAGGATATTTGAGGCTAAAAACTTAACTCTACTCAATTTAGTTTCTAAGTTATTTTATTTTTCAGTCTTCAGATTTCAACTAAATATTTAACATTCCATAGTGTAGCTTCAACTTAAACTTTACCGTGAGAGCTTGTATACTGGATTTACTTCTTTAGCCCTTTGTATGCAATTTAAATTACATGACTCAAAATACAACCCAAATAGAACACAAATGGCCCATAGAAAAAAATGCGAAATATTTACCAATCACTATTCACAGTTTCTTCTGTCACACACTTTAGTTCAATCATACATACCAGACCCCACCAAACCACATGCTAATTAAACTAATTAACAAAGTAAAACCATCTTTAGTCTTTAATATCCAAAGCCCGAAAAATGTTGCCCTCCCTTTGCAAACCAAATATAGAGAGAATATAACACATTTTCTATCAAAATATTATACAAATATGTACTGACTAAACCAAATTTCGAGAGGATTTAGCCAACGCTAGCCAAATGAATACACTTGGAACCATAATGTTGTTTGAATTTTAAAAAAGGAAAACTAATGAAAAGTCCAAAAAAACATCTCTTTTAATGAAAAGTCATTTTCAAAGGTATAGTGAATAGTGTCAGCTAAAGGTAAAAAAGGGGTTTTTCGTTAAAAATGAACAGTACCGGAAGTGTTTTGTTAAAACTCCCGTTTTAAAAAATGTTAACTGATTCAAAAACCACATCATTTAAAGAACCAGTGGAGATCAGAATAAGTATGAAATACTACAAAGGTAAATGAACAACCATTAATATAATTTTTTTTCTCAGCATGGCAACAACAATCATAAAAAGAAAAGGAGAAATTCTATGGGATAAATTTAAAGTCTATTTGAAATATTCAATATATATTTGTTTGTCAAACTCTGATAAAACTTCACACTCATGCTTTCCAAAAAGAAAAGAAAACGAAAAACTTAAATCATTGACAATTGCAAGCAATATAGCAGCTATTATTAAGATCCAAAACGAATTGTGGAAAGTATGGGGACCAAACACTATTAGAAGTTGGAAAGATATGCCGATGCAGCAGTTTGAGAACACAGTTTGGGAAACTTTGGGTAGGAAATATGCTCGCAAGGAAAACCGACAGTGGGAGTATGACTCTCAAAGATGGTTTATGTTTAATTTACTAAATTACCATAATCGTTGTTGGTTTGTTTTCACTAATGGTCTACTTTGTATTCAAGTTTTTGTAAAGAAAATTGGTCTTTTGACATGCTCTTTTCTAAATTTTAAAAAGGATTGTAATTTTGTAAATAAATTCAATTCCCAAATTGAAATTGCAAAGAAAGTAGATCCGTTAGATGCTTATGTCTTTCTTGGTACAGATACTCATATTGTGCTTAATTAGCATCACACGTCATGATATTAAAGTTCTAATCATGTTAGACCTATGCCATGTAGCATATGCATTCAACTCAATACCTTAACATTACAGCCAAAATTAATTGATATTATCAAGAAGTTGAGACTTTACCAAAGCAGCAAAGTAGCGGTTGCAAAATTCAGTCAAAAGCTTTCACTTTGTTTTGATCTGCAAAATACCAAAAACACATTTAAGATCGAGGAAAGAAAACACATTTGATTAAAGAATGCACTTCAGCCATTATCAAATTGTCAACTGAGCGAAATGTATAAACTACACACATTTACACAGCCAAACTCTATACTTTTTATCAGCGACAAAAAAAACAGCAATTTACCTAACAATTAACATAAAATTACATACTCAAATTGATTTGACAGTTTTTAAAGATTCAAAAAATGAACAGACATTTTTTCGAATATCTAACTCATTGTGTCATCTGAATTCACTTGTATACATAAGCTACTAATGCAATCACTCTGCTACCACATGTGGTAAGCTATTAATAGCAGAGGAAAAAAAATTACAGAACAAACTCGCAACCAAAATGAGTTAAGATCTGAAATAAGAGCATAACGATCAAACTATCCGATAAGAAACGATGAATCAAAGCGATTTTCTATCAAACAACTAAAGACCTAAATTGTAATGGCTATAGGGCAACCGGCACTTAAAAGAATAAACCATGCCAAAAGCACGGTATAAATGAACTAAATTACGAACTCGACAAATAAAAAGCGTAAACGTTAAACAATTTAAAGGAAAAGAAAACAGCCCTTACTTTGGCTCTTGTTTCCTTCCCCTTTTCTTTTCCCAGATACTTCCAAGTGGGAAATATAAACCTTTAATTACGTGAAATGTCAGCCAAAAAAGTGACAGGATTAGAGCAAAATAAAGCAACTAAAAGGTCTAACTTATGTGGTTGAGCACTATGGGTTAACAAATACCCATCTAACCACAAACTTTTTTCCCCCATCCAAATTTTAATGTTAACCAAGAGATATAAGACAAAATCGCAATAAGAGAAAATAGGTGAATTAGATCATCAAACGCTGTATCAATAACTGAGATTGAATAGAATGGGGTGTCATTGTTGTGCTCAACTTGGACACCGGTATATACATGCTTTGACAGTTGGTATGTACACATTTCCAAAGATATAAGCAAGTTTATTGGAATACACATACACATACGCATACGCATACGCATACGCACACACATACGTATACATATACATATACATACATATGTACATATATATATATACACGGTGGTTACTAAATAAGAAAACAATTCCATCGGTTTCGGTTTCAGATCTTATATGTATATATAAGCATTCGTTAATCTTCAGACATATGCAGAAGTTTTGATAATGTTAAACCAATGAGACCTTAAATAGATATTCCATAGATTGAACAATTACCATATTTGCTTACAACATTAATGTCCATAAGCCAAATTATTCATATGTGAACATTTTTTTTTTTTTGAAAAGAATTCATATGTGAACATAGGCATCTGTAAAGTTTGAAAAACATTGGCTTGTTCATGACTTACAATCAAATACTGCACGAAAGTAATAAGAAATGTAAATCTACACTAACAACATGCCTGAGTCCTCTTCTACACGAACCTCAATTAAATGACAGAAGTAATATTTAGCAAATAGTAATTGTACAGCTTCAGTCTTATGACAATGCAATCATGATGATCTCTAATTGAAGGTCTAATAGCCATGCATCTTTGCAAATATACAATTATAAACCATCAAAAAAGAACATGAAAGGTTGTTCAAACTTGAAACAGCAAAAAAAAATCAAGGAATGCAGAACTAAGGATTGTCAAATGGCTCAACATTTAACAACCACCATTCATGGTTCTATAAAAATGGGTATATACTAAGTTGGAATCACAAAAGCAAACAGCAAAAAAGAACAGAGAATGCAGCATTTTCTAGTATTTTCGAATCAATTCTAAACCCTGAAATCATTATGCCTAGACCTTTTATTCACACCTCAATCGTTGATGTATCCCTACATCCATGAATCCAATTTCATTCAAGAAACAATGCAAAGGAGAAAATCGAAAAAGAAGTATGTCCCCATGATTAGTTTTCTCGTTTATTCTTCACAAACTAATCACATATTTAAATCTAAGTACAAAAGCTTTACAAAAGTAATAAAAAATTGGTGTACAATTAATTAGGCTTTGAACATGTAATCAGTGTGCAGAATTGTATACCTAAAGATGGCAATGAAGTGTATTCTTCCTCCCATAATCAGGCTTCTTGAAATTTCCAAAGAAAGTAAATCCGTTAGGAAATCAGACAAATTGGAGGACCAAATCTCATTAAATTTGAGTTATATGAGCTAACGTACACCAATTAATGAGATAGTAAACAGATTTCAAATGTATGAAATGTAATGGTTGAAACAGAGCCACAGTGAAAAGGGGAGCAACCAAAATTGTTTAACCATCTTTCTAATAAAACAAACTCCAATTGTTTAACCATCTTCAATGAAAGGCCAACTTTAATTTTTCATTCCCCCAATTAAACCGCTAAACTCACAGAACCTGGGTTTTAAACCAACCTAAGAACATATTGAAACCATTATGCAAAAACAGCAAGCAATGCAAACCATTAAGCGTATATGCAATACCTACTTGCACATTATTATGAATGTCCATTGCGTGGTTTAGTTCAAATCCTCTAGCCTCATACACAACCCATAAGAGGCATTCGGAAACCAAACCCCCCCCCCTTTTGAAATTTAGCTCACTAACCCAATTGAATCAAAACAAATTCAATCAGGAAACAGAAAGTTAAGAACAACCTTAACTCACTAACCCATTGAATCAAAACAAATTAAGTTAGAGAAAAACTACAGTCCAAAATCATATATATACATATATATATATATATTATCTAAATGTAAACCACTACTTAGCTAATTAACTGAGTATACCAAAGAATCAAATTAAACACAAATTCTTAAAGTTTGGCATCCCAATAATCAAATAAGGAAAAACAACAATGTGTGTACTGTGTGTGTGAGTGCTTGTGCTGCATAAGTGTGTGAGTGTATATTGTATTGCTGAGGAAAAACAACAAAATCTTCCAAGTGATAAAAGAAGGCATAAGCGTGTGAGTATATATTGTATGTGTTGTGTGTGTATAAGTACATGACAGTGTTTGTGTGACATTGCATGTGCGTACTGTGTATGCATATAAAATGTGTGTGTACTCTGTGTGGATAAGTGTGTGATGTGTGTGAGTGTATATTGTATGCGTATGCAGTCGGTGTGTGCATATAAAAAAAGGTAAGTGTATTCAGTGTGTATAAAAAGTTATAGTAGGGCTGCATATACCAAAATCCAAACATCATCCTCTATCTCTCTCTCTCTCTCTCAAACAGTTCCACTTAGTTTCCAACTCACTGAAATGCAAAGGAAAACTGAATCTACATGCAGTAGCTAAAGGTTCATCCATATTCATTTTTTACACCTTAATTCACACAACCTGAGTTTCAAACCAACCTAAGCACAGATTCAAACCATTATGCAACAACAGCAACCAATGCAAACCATTAAGCACATTTCCATGATTTACTTGCAATAGGTTTTCTAGTCACTACTGCAGGTGAGTAGCCATGAAACTTTGAGTATTCGTCTAGTATCCATGCCATGGTCTGTTTAAACATCAAAAATACCGAAAAGATCGAGAAGAGAAAACTGTTAAAATACAGTTCAAAGTTTTTCGGACATTCAAGCTGATCTACTTGATAACCAAATTCTGTTGTAATCAAATCTCTTGAACAAAATTAATGGAAAATGTGGCGTGCTCAACCTGTGGACCTATCCCCATATCTGGTGTTGGAACATCGGTGTGGATTCCGATAAGATCGTGCATCTTTTGTGTGAAAACTCTGGTGAGTTGCTCAAGTTTGGAAAGACTCAACTCCCCTGGATTACATCCTATACCCCCTTTGGCACCCCCGTATGGGATGTTGGCTACCGCCGTCTTCCATGTCATCAGCTGCGCCAAAGCATTCACCTCATCTGGATCAACCTACATTTTCCATAAAAGGATCGATAACAATTAAAGACAATTTCTCGGCAGCGAGTCTTGATATATGACAACCATTCACATTTGTCGTAGAAGTGGAACTTAACAAAGTATGCATATACCCCTGGGTGATATCTGATTCCTCCCTTCATAGGGCCTCTAGCATTGTCATGTTGAACCCTGAAGCCAACAAATGAAGCCAAACTGCCATCGTCTTTTGGCATAGTACACTCAACCTGCACCAAAGTATATAGTTCAAAAGCAACGAAAGGAGAAAACTCAATAACCACATTAGTTTTAAGGTCTGAAATCTACCTATAATTAAGAGTAAGGGATATACAAAAGGGAGATTATATGCAAAATTACCTTGATTTCCCTAAATGGTATAAGTAAACTTTTCTCAAGCTTGAAGTCCAATCCCAAAAGCCGAGTAGCAAACTTAAAGTTTCTGTTCGTTGCCACTAATGCATTCATCTTTGCTCCTTCTTTAAGTGTCTACCTTAGAAGCTAAAACCAGCTACTTATCACCTTCAATATCAGATTCTGCAAAAGAACAAACCACATGCATGAGGATTTATACAGTTCTTTGCTTTACCTAAGGTTACTGGACCAGAAATAAAAAACGAAATCAGAGTGCTTTACTTTGTGAGGTTTGATTTGTAGAGGACTGGAGGCTGGAGCTGGGTTTGGTTTTGGCTTGAAGCAGTGGGAGAGGAGTCGAAGGGGCAATAATCTGAAATTACAGTTCTAGAACTCAAAATATATTACGGAAAAATACAAGTAATTTGTGAAGCAGAGCAAAAGTGGGATTTACCTCGATGCTATGTAGAGGGTTTGGAAGATGTCTTCCTTGTAGTGGTCCGTGCGACCAATTTGATAAGAAGTACTCTGAATCTCGTCAAACCCAGACGGACTTATATCAAACGTGTGCAGCAAAGCGAGAATAGTTTGAATTGATAAAAGATTTGTTTGTGTGAAAAAAATGAAATAACACATGAGAAGCATTAGCTTGAAAACGGAAAAAAGGGGCATATATGTATATACCTGTTCCTCAACTTCATCTGATGGGCAAAGCTCATCAGGCAAACCTTCTAAAGCCTGACCGAGTCTTTCATGAATGCCATGAAATCCAACCATGATTGCCTCGCTTTCATGAAGCGCAACAACAAATAAATTAATAATTCACTGTTTCGAATTTGAACATCTATTAATTTTCAAAGGGAAAAGCCTAACCAGATCAATTTTGCTCCCTGGACAAAACACCCACAACCCACGTTTAAAAGGATAAAAAACCCTCCACAAATCAGATACCAGAAATAAGATTTCTTAAAATACGAAAAAATTTGGGATCGAAACACAACAATATTGAAGAAAAACAAACAATTCGAGAAAAATAGTGAGAATAAGGCACGAATCAGAGAAAGAAGTGAGATTTAATTACCTCTTGAACGCTAGAGAAATTGGGTGCAGGATGAGGGGGCGAGAAGATCGTGAAGCAGAGATCGAAAAGATGAGGAAGCAGGGATCGAAGGGATCACGAAGCAGAGATGGAAGAGATTGATGCGGACTGTAGGACGCATGATCGAAGTCGCCAACCCGTTGCAGAGCAGCTAAGAATGTTTTAGGTTTCTAGCGTTTTCGGAAGACCCAAAGAATACACACACCCATGCTTTCCGCTCTGTATCTCTTCCTGTCCATCTCTCTCTCTCTAAAATGGGGGAAAATCCTATAGATCCTGGCAGAGCACCTACCTAAATATCTCTCACACTCAGTCCAAACCCGTAGCTCCCATCTCTCTCCAATCAGTCAGGCCCTGTGTCTCCCTCCTTTGTAGTCGCTCTGTCCCCCTCTCTCCGCTCACCACAGGCACACCCAGCTGTCTCCGAGTAAAAAATATGAGCGAGCTTCTCTCTCCAATTTGTCAGCCGTGATGTCCCCCCTCTCTCTCGCCGAGTCAAAAGCTGAAATGCAGCGAACGACTGAAGATAGGTCCTCAAGGTTGAGTGGCAATTTTGTAAATTAAGAGAAAGCTGGTTAAAAGCATCTGAGTGGCAATCTTGTAAATAAACTGAAATGTGGTTCAAAACACTGTTCATTTGTACAGTGCAATTGAAAAGCCTTCTTTAGACTAAAGTAATATGCCCTATCATTAAGGGCTGGTTTGGTATTGCTGTGCTTTGAAAAAAGTTGCTTCTGCTGTGTTATGAGAATAAGTAGCTGTGAAATAAAGCTGTAAAGTGTTTGGTAAACTTTTTTGTAAAAATGTTTTTGAAAAAAAAAAGTAGTATTATAGTGTTTGATAAACTTTTATGTAAAACAGATGTGAAAAAAAGTCAGTTTTTTAAAGCTGGGTTTTGTAACTTCTTGTTTTTGGCTTTTTTTCACCAAAAACTGTGAAAAAAAGCTGAAGCGGAATGTTTACCAAACACAAAAAAACTTCCAACTTTTTTTTATATCAGTTTTTTTAGAACCACTTCAATACCAAACCAGACCTAAACATATAATAAGCAAGCAAGCAAGCAGCAAGGAAGTGATGAGTTAGGACCAAGAAAGAAAATATCGATAATATCAGAGATATTTCGCCGATATTATCATTTTTTTTTAAGTTCGATATTTTTTTAACTATCCAAATGATTTTCATCAAAATATCACAATATTATCAATAATATCGATAATATTGCGATATTTTCAAAATTATCGATAATATCGCAATATAATATTCAAAAATACTTAAAATGTTGAGAAATCTCAACACATACTACACTTAATCATAGCTCAAAGGCCAACCAAGACATGCTTTTCTTAGCTTGGGAATGTGGGTTTTAAAGGCATTCTTGCTTGCTCACTGCCCTCACATGGGCGATGTGGGACTCGACCAAGGAAGAAAATAGGAATTTCGGCCGGAAATCCACACCCACTTTAAACGGCCATAACTTTGTCAAAACTCAATAAAATCAAGCAAGATAAAAACGAAAGTTGTAGCCCTCGAAGAGACGAAGAGAATGGTACCTCACACGACATCTGAATCGTCGTGGTTTGGCCGGAAAATGCCTCGAAAGTCACTGAGGTCGCCGGAAACTGGGTAAGATTCAAATGAGTATAACTTTTTCAATACTCAACGAAATTGAGTGAAATAAAAAGGAAAGTTGTACTACTCGACGAGACGCAGAGATTGATACCTTGGACGCCGGCCAACTCGCAGTGGTTTGGCCGGAAAACCAGTGTCAAATTTGGCATATTATTCTTTATCATTTTATTCACTTCCCTTTTTTTTTTTAATATCCTAAATAAAACCTCCCAATATTGTACTAATTAATTATATATAAATGATTATGGTGTGTTTAAACTTCTTTCATTAATTACTACATATTTTCTACACTCACAATGTTTGCCAGCTCGCTATATAATCAACTTAAATCAGTTAAATCCATCATGCAATGCATTTCCTTCCAATTTTTTGTGATAAACTAATAGATAATTGACTAAATAAACATCCTGCAAAGTTTCATTAAAAATTTCCAAGTTTTTCTTACAATTTCCGTGGTTTCCATGTAATTTTTATCGATATCGATATTATCCCTATATTTCCATCGATATTTCAGTGTTTTCGGACTACCGATATTTCCGATATTACCGATATTTTCTTCCTTGATTAGGACTTTCGCTTTCGAAAAGTTTTACTGGGGCTAACTTGTCACATATGAGTACTCGAATGTAGAGTGGGTTTTTTTGTGACTTTGGGCGGACGAGATATCTCTGACAGTCATGCCAAAGTTTCCTCCTCTTCTTCCATTTCCACTCGCCCACTCTACCTTCATTTCGAAACCAATTCACCTACCTAATAGTCATTTTGACCTCTCTCCTGAAATGTGGTGAAAATAGTAAGGAAAATCTTTCACAAACAAACAAATATATGTTAATTTTTCAATTTTAAACACACAAGCGTAAGTGATACTTAATATTATCCTTTAATGATACTTTTCTTAACTTGTAAATAAAATATTTTGAATTTAATTCTTATGGATGACAAGTTCGATTTTAATTTATTTTATGAATATATGATTTATACAGAAGAAAAAAAGAATGACGTGACTAAGGCTTGGTTTGGTATTACTGTGCTTTGAAAAAAAAACTGCTGTGAGAATAAGCGGCTGTGAAATAAATCAGCAGAGTGTTTGATAAACATTTTTTGTAAAAGTGCTTTTGGAAAAAAAAAAAAAACAGTCTGATAGTGGGTCTTTTCATTAAATGAGCACTGTAGCTCCGTATGCTTTGAAAAAAAACCAGTTTTCCAAAGCTGCAAATAGCAGCTTCAGCTTTTTCTTTTGATTTCAGCTTATTCTCACAGCAGCTTCCAAAATAAGCCATTTTTTTCAGTTTATCAAACACTTAAAACCCTCACAGCTTTTTTCATAGACGTTTTTTTTAAGCACCTCACTCCCAATCTATTCCAACCCACCTGAGGGCAGTGTTGAGAGAGTATTTAATCATTTTTTAACCGGTGGTTAAATAGTCGCTGGTAGCCGGGTTTAGTCGCCACTCGCCAGCCTGGTTTAGAAGGCTTGTAGTGGGGTCGGGAGGCGGGTGAAGGTCTGCTCTGCTCTGCGTCACACACAGAGAAGCTGGGAGAGCGGAGATGACTATTCTCATAAAGTCAACCTTGTTTCTCTCTCTTGAATTGATGCATACAAATATCCAAAATTAATTTTTCTCTTCCTTTTCTTTAATTTCTTCTTGTTGGTATTGCTGCTGTTGTGTTTCTCTTTAGTTTCTTGCCTTTGGGCTTTTGGCTCTCTCTCTCCCCCTTGTTCAAATTTTGTCTGCAATTCTTAGACCTAAATTAGAATAGGGATTAGGGGTCTCTCTCAAATCAAAGCATCTTTTGCACCACAACTCCATAACTAGTCAAAAGCATTGGGTATGCACTTGTTTCTTTTTTGTGTGCTTTTTTCTGGTAATTTAGTTTAAAGCGTAAACCTTTTACTAAACTTAATAATTGGGCATGGTTTTCATTCACAACTCTGTAGTTTACTCAACTTATTGTTGAACTGTCTGAATTACCGGATTATTCTAATCTAACCTAATCTAATCGAAACCCTGATTTGTGCGGTGATCAATCTGGATCCACCTCCGCCGTGTGGAAGAAACTAACATAAAGATCATGAATTTGCAGTTTCTTAGAGCACATTGTATCTGGGTTAGGTGTTGTTGTGCTTTATCTTGTCGATCCAATACTCTGATTGTGTCTTTTTCACTTTACTCTGCTCCCTATTTCTACTGCTTGTAGTTCAAGTGGGAAATGCAAATATTGCATTGTGTAGCTTCTTTCCTTAAACGCTGCCATCAAGCCAACACCTAGAGTTCAGAGATTCCACATATTAGTTTTGTTGATCTGCAAGATATAGGAAAGTTGGAATGTTTGATTCTAACTTCCAGTTCATAGTCGAACGTCATAATTTTTGCTGCACATGTGCTGCTCTAGCGTATCTTACTGACCCAATGAAGTATAGTTTGTCTACAACATTCGTGCAATGCAACAGTTGCAGTATACTACACATGCGAAGTTAAATCCTTTTTGCATGAAATGGAGTTAGAAAACAGTTCAGTTCATTTCATTTCCTATACACTTTGCACCCGTTCATTTTAGTTTTCTGTTGATTTTAGAGCTTATTCAGTTTTACCACTAGCTTGTGATTGTTGGTGTGCTGTTCTAACCGTGTGCTATCTTACTTTGGTGCAGTAGGAGGATTTAGGTCAGATGGCTGACAGTTGGCATGGAAACTATGATACTGGCAGTCAGTCAGATGACAGCCATAAGTTTGAGAGAATGCACATAGAGCCTATTTATGATGCATTTTTTTGTCCTTTAACGAAGCAAGTTATGCGTGATCCTGTTACCTTAGAAAACGGTCAAACATTTGAGCGAGAAGCAATTGAAAAGTGGTTTATGGAATGCAAGGAGACTGGAAGGAAGTTGGTCTGCCCACTGACACTACAAGAATTGCAAAGCACTGAGCTAAAGCCTAGCATAGCGCTGAGGAACACCATTGAAGAGTGGAATGCTAGAAATGAAGCTGCTCAGCTTGATATGGCTCGTAGTCGTTGAATCTGAGCAGCTCAGAAAGTGAAGTTCTTTTCGCCTTGAAGTTTGTCCAGCAAATCTGCCAAAAGCAGATCAAGTAAGCACGTTGCACGCAATGCAGGGCTGATACCTATGATAGTTGACATGTTGAAGAGCAGCAGTCGTAAAGTAAGGTGTAAAGCCTTGGAAACCCTTAAAACAGTGGTGGAGGAGGATTCCGATAATAAGGTAATCCTAGATTTTTTTGGTTCTCTTTTCGTTTTCCATTAAATTGCAAACATGGATGTTTTGTAGGGCCTCGTATTAATATCCGTTTGGTTATAGGAAATATTGGCTGATGGGGACACGGTACGAACTATAGTGAAGTTCTTGTCTCACGAGCAATCCAAAGAGAGGGAGGAAGCTGTATCTTTGCTGTATGAACTATCCAAATCTGAAGCCTTATGTGAGAAGATTGGTTCAATTAATGGAGCGATTCTTATTTTGGTTGGAATGACAAGCAGCAAATCAGATAACATTTTGACTGTTGAGAACGCTGACAAAACACTGGAGAATCTAGAGAAGTATGAGAACAATGTGAGACAGATGGCTGAAAATGGTAGACTGCAGCCTCTTCTGACACAAATTCGTGAAGGTACTTGTACTAACTGTACTTCCTCTTATCTTTACACTTTTCTCAGTATGTTGCTAGAAGTAGGGCAAACAAACAGCCAATACTCTTTGGATAATTTATTTCGCATTTAGAGATGGGCTACAAGGCCTGCAAATATGGTAAAGAAGCATTTATTTTTATATATATGTTTTTTTCAAAGACAACACAAAAAAACCGTGCTGAACTGAACTATCGGAATTTCTGCACCTTGCCTAGCGTCTCCAGTCCATCACAGCCTGCACGATTCTGATGAGTATTTGACCCAAGATGAGTTTTCCTACTTATGAGACAACTATCCATTTGTTATTTTTTGTAATAATTAATGTTGCTGTCCAGACTATGACTTCTTGGTCTAAACCTGAGTACACATTAATTTCCTCTATTTCCACCTCTGATATTGTAGTTCAGGGGGGGGGTTTTACTGTATAGTGGACTACCGGTATTAGTTTGAGCTATACTTCTCTTTTATTGTTTTAAACTAAGATATTTAAGTTTTATCTCTCTTAAAAAAACTATGTTGAGCATAACTCAAATTTCCTTGTTGATATGATCGCAGGCCCTCCAGAAACCCAACTTTCAATGTCTAATTTCCTTGGTGAGTTAGTTTTGGACAACGATGTAAAGGTCCTAGTGGCTAAAAGTGTTGGTTCAGCTTTGATCAATATCATGAGAAGTGGTAATATGCAGTCAAGAGAAGCAGCTTTGAAAGCTCTCAACCAAATTTCATCTTGTGAGGCGAGTGCCAAGGTACTGATAGAAGCAGGAATACTTCCGTCTCTGGTCAAAGATCTCTTTACCGTTGGGACTAACCAGCTTCCTATGCGACTGAAAGAGGTTGCTGCAACAATTCTTGCTAATGTTGTTAGCTCGGACTATGATTTTGATTCGATCTTGGTTGGACCTGATCAGCAAACGCTAGTCTCCGAAGACATTGTCCATAACCTACTACATCTCATTAGCAACACTGGACCAGCAATCGAGAGCAAGCTTCTCCAGGTTCTTGTTGGACTCACTAGCTCTCCTTCAACTGTTCTGAGTGTTGTTGCCGCCATTAAAAGCTCCGGTGCCATTATTAGTTTGGTGCAGTTTACTGAGGCTCCACAAAAGGAATTGCGTGTGGCTTCCATTAAACTTCTCCAGAACCTCTCCCCACATGTGGGTCAGGAGCTAGCTGATGCCCTACGTGGCACAGTGGGCCAACTTGGAAGCCTAATTAAAGTCATATCAGAAAATATTTCAATCACTGAAGAGCAAGCAGCAGCCATTGGCCTCTTAGCTGAACTTCCGGAGAGGGATCTAGGCCTTGCCAGGCAAATGCTAGATGACGGTGCCTTTAAGCTGATACATTCTAGAGTAGTTAAAATCCGCCAAGGGGGGAGTAAGGGTGGCCGCTTTGTGACGCCATTTTTAGAAGGACTTGTACGAGTTCTAGCAAGGGTTACGCTTGTGTTGGCCGATGAGCAAGATGCAGTCGCTCTGTGCCGTGAACTTAATCTTGCTACACTTTTCATTGAACTTGTACAGGCCAATGGACTGGAGAATGTGCAGATGAGTTCAGCAGCTGCATTGGAGAACTTATCACAAGAATCCAAAAATTTGACAAGATTGCCCGAGTTGCCTACACCTGGTTTCTGTGCTTCAGTTTTTCCATGTTTTAGCAAACAACCTGCCATAAATGGATTGTGTCGGCTTCATCGTGGGACGTGTTCACTTAGAGAAAGTTTTTGTCTCCTGGAGGGACATGCTGTGGAAAAGTTGGTAGCTCTTCTCGACCACACAAACGAGAAGGTGGTTGAAGCAGCACTTGCAGCACTCTCTACTTTGTTGGATGACGGGGTTGATATTGGACAAGGGGTTATGGTGTTGTGTGAAGCAGAGGGTGTGAAGCCTATTCTTGACGTGTTGTTAGAGAAACGGACAGAGAATCTGAGGAGGAGGGCAGTCTGGGTAGTTGAAAGACTATTGCGGAGTGATGAGATAGCCTATGAAGTTTCTGGAGATCCGAACGTGAGCACCGCACTTGTTGATGCCTTCCAGCATGGTGACTATCGAACGCGGCAGATTGCTGAACATGCCCTGAAGCACGTTGACAGGTTACCAAACTTCTCTGGTGTCTTTCCGAACGCAGGATAGGCATCTTCCGGTGGTTTTTATTGTTATAGTTTGCGAAGGTGCAATTGGAGGAGGGTACATATTTGTTGTATACAGATTTTTTCTTTCATTTGTTTTTAAGGGTGGTGGTGTGTCCATCGACTTGGGTCTGTTAATGAACTGCTTCTTGTGTAGAATTCCCAAGGAAAATTCTGTTTACGCTCAAGTTTCGTCTTTGGACACCCCACTTCTTTGGACGCTTATATATAAATTTAGAAGGTGCTTTTTGGATACCCATTGAAACTTAAATTATATTCCGAATTTGACCCCAAATTAAAGCGTATTAAATAAAATTAAAATCAACAAAAAGGCGTGGTGCAACATCCAGAGGGGGGGAGGGGGGCTGACGACACCTAACAAGCATCTGGTCATCCAACCATTGTTTTATACAATTACAATTGCATCTTCAAAGACGAATTTGAGCTACATAACATACTCTCTCACTCCTTTAGTGTGGATAATATAATTGCATATTCAAACGGTGCCAGAATCCCCCTCACTTTAGACCGAAGTAATAGGATAGCCACCATTAAAAATCAATAACATTCAATTCAATATAGTTGCAACATATGAACATGATGCGGGGGGAATAATTATCAGACGCGTGAGACTTAAATTACAGAATCAATTTCTTGAATGTTGGTGAACAAATTACATCCGCGACTACATGAGCGTGCGAGCGAGCATACGTACCATATTTCCCTACTGGTCGGGGTTTTTATCAAGAATATCCATTCAAACCGTTCAACACTGAAATTGCCAGTCGCAGGTACGCCCAAAATGCTCTTGAGAAGAAAGCGAGAACAACAGCGTTGATGATCATGTGTGTAATATTTTGTTTCTGTTTGTGAGTTACAATGTGGAGAGGACTTTTCAGTCTTTACCTTACAGATGTAGCACAGCCATTGACTTGGACAAGCACGAAGAAGCATCCAGCTCGCGAGTTACAAAGTTCCTTGAGACATGACTCCACTTCATCCCCATATCAGAAACGTCACATGCAGTAAAAAAATCCAATACTTGCCCAAATATTTTGAACATCTCAATACCAAATATCACGTTTCCGTCTGCCACAAACGCAGCATTCCAGTCCATTGGAGCATCAGGATGTACTGAGACCTCGGTCCAGTTATGGTACATGAGATCCAGCTCCCATACTTTTCTAACGGCCTTGTTTCTCCGGCCTATCTGACCATCCCCTTCACACCAGAAGACAGAAAGCATGAAGAGCCGGCCATTACAAGATACCAGTTGTGGGTAATATTCATGAACGCGGGGTGGGAAAGGAGTGGTTTGGATTCCAATCCAGAAACCCCTTTCTATGTCATATCCTGCGAGCTTGTCAGTTTCAGAATAAACATAAAACATCCCATTACAAATAACCCCAGAACAAGCAAACCCAAAGTCCACAGGCAACCCTTGAATTTCAGTCCATTTCTTTGAAACAGAATCATATATTTCTCCAGAATCCAAAGGTTCATCCCAGGATCCAAGACCACCTACAGCAATGAGCACAACCCTTCTACAACCCTTCATGGATGAGTGATCACTTTTTTGTTTCAAAAATTTATATGACTTTCTATTGGGCAACACCGAAGACTCATTGTCGTCACCAGAACATCCGTGTTGACGCCTAAGAGAAAGCCTGTGAGGATCTTCATAAACCTCTGACACTCCACCTACCCGTGATCTGGGAATACGTCTATCTTGGCGACTTTGATAACTTTGACTGGTGGAAAAATCTGAAGTTACCTCCGAAACTCCTAAAATAGGCATTGATCTTGCATACTTCATTGGAGCAACATTGCGCCAAGATTTTGTTAGGGGACTAAACAGTATCACCCCTTTGTGTGTCTTAAATGAGCTCTTATCCATCCTCCCAAAGTTGTTCAAGCTAGAACAACCTCCAACAACGTAAATATCATCCTGGACACTAGCAACAGAAAACATGAACCTTCCCTTTAGAATGCCAGCATCTACACCATGCCATTGGTTTAGAGACACATCCAATGCATGTATCTCCCCAGAGCAATAACCATCTTTAACAGCACCAAAAAGAAACAACCATGGGTTTTGATGTGAGCCTTCCCGTCTCATCTGCAGGAAACGAGTAGTAGTAGTCAAGTGTTTCCATTTCTTGCACACGAGGCGTGCAGTCATGAGACTGGTTAGTGGGAGCCTCACCAAGCACATTTCCAGTATGTCATCTGGAAGAAAAATGTGCATCCTGCTATTTCTTATTGATTCTTCAAGCTCAAAATCCTTTCTGTTATGTTTCTTCAAAAATCTCTCCCTCACCCCATATAAGAAGCAATCAACTCCAGATTTCTCGGTACCACATATTGGTCTGTATCCTTTGCCATCATCGCTGGCACTGGAAGGCCTCCTCGTGTTACTGGTATCCCCAAAATCATCACCTGTGTCAGCACCTACTCTGCAACCTCCACCCCTACCATACAGAGTAAGACATCTCAAAGATATTCCCCTCACATCATCATCGTCATCTCCTACAGATCTCTGATTCTTCTTCCTCAACTTCTGGCTAACACTTCTCATGAGACGCTTTGACACACTCAAAGCTTCAACATCTTGATGAAGAGATTCTTCACCAGATGGTCTCCCAGAGTACATTCTGTTCTGTAATCATTAGCAAGCAAAATAACGCACTCTCTTGCAAGAGTCATCAACCCTAAAAGATGAAATAAAATCACAAGCATAAGATACCAATCAAGAGTTGAGTAAACTTAAGCACGTATTTCCACATACGTTTGGCACTCCCAAAAATTCATATAGAACATGAGCGGTGAAATCATGTGCAGCAGCATACTTAGGATTTGGTTAGGTTATTTAAAACTATATGCCCTTGAAAAATAAGAGATAAATTGAAGCATTCCGTTTTCTAATCACAAGAAAAGAATTTTGATTACTCAAACAAAACTCGGTTGACTTTACAACCTCGCAAATCTTTGCGGCTCCTAAATTCATTAACATCTCATTAACCGAAAAAAGACAGATACTTAAACTTGCACAAACATGAGAAAACAAGCACAGAACAAACATTGAAATTAAGAATTTACTTTTTATTTTGGTTTCCGGGGTTTTCCTTTTCCCTTCAGTTTTCTGGGCAACCCAACACAGAGCAAAGAGTTACACAATCGAAATAAACAACGGGTAGAATACCATATTCAGTCAAAATCACCACAGAAGGACTCCGATATCATTTAAATTCAGTTGAATGAACAAACATACCCATACATACGTACGTACATACATACCTACATACATATAGCTCATTTGACTGCCGATAATTAAGTAAGTAAATAAAATAGAAGCTGAAATTTTGCAACTTACCGGCAATCAGCACCCTAATGAGATCGACATTTCCAGATACAGAACGTGTTTGGCTGGCGAGAAACGAGAGGAGAGGAGTAATTTCGAACTTGGAATCGATTGATATGGAATGAATTGAAAAGAAAATAAAAAAGAAATGGAGAAAATAAAAAAGGGAAAGGAAAAGAGTTGGAAAAGCAAAGGGGGCAATTGAGGGCAGCACTGTTGAAGTTGAAGTTGAAGTTGAAGTTGAAGTGAGCGATCTGAGAGCTATGAAATGGGATTGAATGATGGAAAAGAAGGTAAAGCGAGGAAGAAAGAAAAGAGAGATGAGATTCTCCGATTATAAAAATTCAGCTGTGTTCCACTCATATTTAGAATAAGAATGTAATTGTATAAATCCAGGAAATCTGATAATGTATCTTATATTCCTATTAGGATTAGATTACCTATTAAATGTTGTAATCCTAAAGGGAAATGTTTTACCTTTCCTACTACTATAAATAAAGGCACAATGGGATGGAATAACAGACACCTCACAATTACACATCTCTCTTTTTCTCTCTATCCATGCCGCACCCCTCTCTCTCTCTCTATGACCTCCATAATTGTTCAGTAAATTATGCCTACAACACGTTATCAGTACGTTCTTGACGCTGCGCTGACAAGAGAATTTGATCTTCAATCTGGGGAATATTACGTCTTTAATCATTCTTTTCATGATTAATTTAATTATTTTATTGAATTGATCTACATGCTATTGATTCAATTTAATCTTTCTATGTTGAACGTGATACAACGAATTGGAGATGCAATTTCGGCTTTCGGAGAAGGATCTTCTACAAATTCAAAGGCTTATTCATTTTCTGCTACTCAGGTACGCTTAAAATAAAGGAAGATATTTGAAACGACCCATGAAACATGAAAACATTCCCCATGATGCATGAACGCCCTACATTTATATTTACCTTCCGATATATATATTGTATATGTTTCATATATTTGTCAATATATATATTTGTTTCATGCATTACGCAATAATTGCTATGTAGAATTTGTGAGTCAAAGAATCGAAAGAAATTAGAAGCATATTAGGGTGTTCCTAAACCCTAAAGGATTTGAAAAAAAAAAAAATGGGGGAATCAGGACATGGTGCGGCACACCATTGCACCATCATTGTGCAAATAATCACCAGGCCTAGGCCTGGATTTTACCTCGGTAGGGCCTGTAGCCCTGAGCCTATGCACACTGTGTTGAAATATGCCCTGAAAGTCAATCTTTGGAAGAAACCTTTCAGGACAAATGAATGGATGTATAGATGACTCTTATACATCAAATGGCAAAGATACTAATTATGACTATCTCAATAAACGATATATGTCATAAATAGTGAATCCATGGACAATGGATCGGTTGAAGAAGTAATCTAATGATGTTAGACTACAAAGACCTTCTTCACATAACCATCATGTCCAAAAGGTTCCTGGTCATAGGATTGTCGGAGGGAAAGTGACAATGCATAGACCGGTACATACTATGTCCGCTTCAATTGGAAGGATGGAAAGTCTCATCCCATTCGTGTAGTGACACTAAGATAAGTATGTAGGTGCTCATTAAGGGAATGAGTTCACTGAATACAATCGAACGAGAGTACTTGCATGGAGGTCTACTCACATGTTAAGCAAGTAACTCTTATGGTTGGAATAATGTAAGTAGTCATTTGACCTGAGGCATCGTCGTTGTCTTGTGGTTAAGTACTTGATCTTTGATTATGTCAAAGTCACCCTATTCGCGGGTGTCCACGGCATAGTTGGGGTTAAGCCACTTAGTCATGAAGGCAAGTGAATGCGCAACAAGGAATCTCTAATCTCTTCGTTAAGAGAGGAAGAATACTCTAAGATAT